TTTTGCGCCCCTTCAGACGGTCTCCCCCCGAGTTCCACGGTCGACCTTACCCTCGCCCCTCTCCCATCATCATTGAGGGTCACGAGGAGTTTGTCGTCTCTGATATTGCGTTCTGGCGTATGACTGATAGTGACCCTCCCCGCCTTGAGTATCTCGTTCGATGGAAGGGTTATCCTGACGAGGAGTCTACTTGGGAGCCTCTTGAGCACCTGAAGCATGCTAAAACTTTTGTGCGTGCTTACGATCGTGCTCATCCTTTCCCTTCTTCATCCTCCCCTCCTACTTCTCGCCCATCTACTACTGACCCTTCTACCTCGGCGGCCACTAACATTCCCCCTCCTCCATCGATGGGTCCTCCTGCTCCACCGGTAACCGCCTCAGGTCCTCCTTCCCCTGTGGATGTGGTTCCGCCTGTTGTTGCAATTCATTCCTCTCGTCCTCAGCGTACACATCGACTTCCTTCTCGTTTTCGTGACTGATCTATATCCCTCGTACGCTCTCTATCTTTTACCATTCCTGGACACTTATGCAGCAGCCCCCGGTTTCAGCTTCTACATTCAGCTTCTATATTCGGCTTCTACATTCGACTTTCGACCTCAGTGCTTCTCCTCAGTACCAGAGTACCTGTCGTATTGTTTCAGACTTCTACTCGGTTTTTGCAGTACTCCTACTTCATCCAGGCTACTTCGGTTCGACTTCAGTCTCGAGACTCATCAGTTGGACTACTTCACTTTTTCGGCTATAGAGTCCCCATCATTCCCACCTATCCACCACTCTTGAGCTTACCCCCTCCCTCCAGTCGCATGATGACCCCTATTTCCCCCGTCTATGTGGGTGTGTCCGCTTGCCGCCCTTCTGCCTTACCTTATGCTGCGCGCCCTCCTCTGGAGTGTACGTTTTCCTTGCTCGTGGCTTCTGGCCACATGTCTATGTCGGCATAGCCCTCTCTCCTTCCAGACTCACCTTATGTGTGCTCCCTTCTGTGAGTGCCCTTCCTCCCTTTCAGCTGGCGGTACCCGTTTGATGGTTTCCATTGAGCCCGGTGTTGTGCTGTTACTCTCCCTCTGAGCCTGAGGACCCTTACCTGGTTGTGTGGGTGCCCCCTTGGAGTTTACTCTGAGAGCTGTACCTGCCGCCTTCCCACCCATTCCTGCCTCTACCATGCGACTGAGTTCCTTTCTCTTCTATTCAGGTATTGTGCATTATGTACAGGGCACGTGAGATTGTGCCACATTCTTTTCGACGTAGGACATTGGCTTAGCTATTCTTTGGCCGTTAGGGCCCTGGTGTTGATTTATATTCAGCCTATTTGGCTCATGATACATTTTCCCTATCTTGGCCGACACAGGTCAGACATTTTTCTCTTTCTTGGCCGACACAGGTCAGACATTTTTCTACTTATTGGGTCGACACAGACCAGACATTGTTGTATAGATTAGCCTGATTAGGCTTGAGGCTTAGTCTACATTGCATCCCTTTTCCTGCATGGAGCCTGCTCCGCATCTAGGATTATTTCTTTTGCCGTTCCTTTTGGGCTTCCGCTATTTCAGCGGATAGCGTGTTTGATGTATCGCTTGATCCATTCACAGGTCCGAGGATCATGTAGCGGTACCCCTACGGCCCGGCAGTGAGGCCGGACCAGTTTCAGGCCGTCGGCCTGACCCTGGTCCGGTAGCAGGTTGTTCCGTACCTGGACCTAGGCCAGTATATCACTTCGGCCTAGGCCCAGGGCGGAAGGTTCATTCATTCGGTTGTTCGTTCGTTCATTGGGCCGGACTGGACCTTCACTCAGCTGCTGCTTCTTGTGTGTGTCCATCTCCTCTCTCTCTCTCTCTCTCTCTCTCTCTCTCTCTCTCTCTCTCTCTCTCTC